TATATAATTGAACTCACTTTTGTTTCAGATGTTCTAAAAAATACAAAGCTGTTGCATAATTATGGTTTATATGTAGATACACATATCGCCCATTTGCTGCAGGAGGATCATAATAAATAAATAAAAAATCAAAAACTGGAAAAAACGGCTTAAAAGTTTATAGCTTACATCCATACATTCTTCTAATGCGCTTTTGGTAATCGACAAAGCTATGAAATTTTTATGCAACATAGAATGGTGGCAATCATTTCTGCATATTTAACTCAAATTTTTTTATGACACTTGCAGCAAATGTTCTATATGTATGTAAATATAGGGGGAGATTACGATAACCGGGGCGACAAATTTTGACTTTGCAATTGGAAAGCTGGGCTTCTCCGCTTTTCAAATATAACCACTTTTAGGGGTCGGGCCTTTTAGTTTTCAAGATATTTAGTGTTGAAAGTTATTTTTTAGATTTTTTTAAATATTAATATCTTATGAACTACATAACCGATTGAAAAAAGTAATGTGTCATAATAAAGATAATTAATTTATCTCTCAGTTCAAGTATCTAATTAATATTATTTTTCATATCTTAAAGCCCAAAATATTAATAAACTAGTAAAATTTCATAATTTTTTTCATAAAATGACCTTTTTTGAAAAAATTACGTGAATAATGCTAAAGAAATGTACATTACTTAGAAAGTACAAGTTATTACCTTTAATTTGGTATAGATATTTTATTATGATCTGCTTTTGAGGCTTAAGAATTCAGTGGTGACAATCTTACATTTACTGTAGTTTATTCACATAAGGTGCTCTCTTCTCCGGCAACTCAGAAAGGAGAATTCTAGTTAGTGAGGGTCATAATCCCTAAGCGCGGCCGAAAGCCGCCTACGCAGAGGTGTTCTCTGGAAAAGGTGTTCAGCCCCTTCTCTTTCGCAACACAGAAAAGAGAGTTCTACTTAGTGAGGGTTATAATCCCTAAGTGCGTCCGGAGGCCGCCTACGCAAAAAGGTGTCCTCTGCAAAAGGTGTTCAGCCCCTTTTCTTTGGCAACACAGAAAAGATAATTCTACTTAGTGAGGGTTATAATCCCTAAGTGCGACCGAAGGCCGCCTACGTTTTTTATTAAATACTCTGTATAGTACAGACTGAAGACATGATGTTTTATATCAAATGAAAGCTTGTTTTATATCCTATTGGAATATGTAAAGTTTGAATATGTTCAATAAATCAATTTTTAAATAATCCTGTGATCGTTTAAAATTTTTTGTAACTTTTTTTAGTCAAATAGAATTTTTGCTAAAACTTTATAAGCTGTATATAACATTTGTACATCGTATTAAAGGCATTCATAATTCCTATTGAATGATATCAAAAATTTTTAAATCCGCGCTTTTGTTTTCAAGATATTTGGATTTAAAAAAAATGGTAGCTTCTGTAGTTTTTGTTTCCCATCAAAAAAAATATTTTGTTATACTTGCTTCAAAAACCTCTATCGACGTCCTTGTTCACAATTTGGCGCCCCGGTTATCGTAATCGTGCCAAATACAGCCATAGGCACTTGCACTCACTTCTCATATGGCATTTTAAGCGTATTTCGTGCTACCACTTCATCTTCATTAAGTTCAATTTTGAAGGTAGCACCAATTGCGTTCGTTATTGGTGCTGTAGTTTTTACTGGCGCGCTCCTGAAGCAATTTTGTAATGCCTCAACAAGAAATTCGTTTTTAGTTTTAGTATATGTGTAGAATTTGTTTGAGACGCCACCGCCAGTTTTACGAGCAATAATGGTTAAAGTATTGGAGGTCTGCAGGTGTAGTATTAAGTCAGCCATGTATTCAAATGCTGATATCAAATATTCTGTACGTGGATACACGAGATTGGCAGGAGCTATCCATAGAAAGACCCGGTGCACTTTTTCACATTTTCGTAGCTTGTGAATAAATTGTATAATTTTCTGTACACCATGCAAGCAGAGTAGATCAGAAAGTGGAGGCAACAAAACATTGCATTTATTTTCTTCCTGGGAACATTTCGCCACAAAATTAATAAAAACCGACCAGTCTCTCAGTTCAGGACTGAAAGAGAATGTTTTTGCAGTTAGTTTTTCATCGTGTTTTTGTTCTCGTAAGAATTGGCATATTATATTATGTGATATTTTTTCCAAGCCAGTTTCATCTGCAAATAAAATGCTCTACATTTTTTCAAATATATTATTATAGCTTACCTATAATAACCACGAAACGTTGGCTGGTCACAACTAGATTCGAAAGCATTGTAAAAGAAAATAATATAGAAACAAAAAGATAATAAATTATACACCAAATTTATTTAATAAAACAACTTCAATTTCAATGAAACGATACGAGTACGGACAACACGATAGAGGCGAATTTATACAAGGTGGTGTTCAAGGCGAATTAATATAAGGTGATAGCAGGAGTACAAAAACAAAAATTTACATGTATTTGGTTTTTGTTTTGGCGGCATAAACTGTCAAAATCTGTAAGAGTGTGTGTAGAAATTCAAAGAAAATTTTTCAGTTTGATATCAGAATTCTTGAGTAAGAGTCCGAAATGAGCCGTATATAATAACAGTAAGAGTCAAATATGGCTCATATTGACGCTCATTTGATGTATGAATTTAAGCTCATATATGTCGACCTTTGCAGGAAGGGAAACACTCATTCCCGACTCTTAAATGAGCTCATTATGAGCGTAAATGCTCCAAAGTAGGACTCCTTTAAGACTCATTTATGACTCCAAATGTTTGCTGGAAAGCCGTGCGGCGAAAACATACACAAAATCAGCTGAGCTAGTAACACCACCTTATATAAATTCGCCTTGGTGGTGTTCATAGCACAATATAACCAGTAAACAACCTGAGGTGAATTTGGCGACTGCCTTCCTCGGGGATGAATATGCTAGGGATGAAATTATTGGTACACGCGCCTTCCAAGCACGCAGGGTTGCTTTTAAGAAACAAAAAATCATTAACTCCAAATAGTTTCAAAAAGTATAGTGTAAAACGAAATTTATTGAATAATTCCTCATAAAATGCTATACATAAATTACGCATTTTCTAAACGATTTAAATTAAACGCATTTGCGAATTGATAGAAAAGTACTACGGATTGTAAATTTTTGTTAACTATGAGGTGAATGAAAATTTTCAACCCGGCCTGATGGTTTGATTTTATTACTAAGGCGTCTAATAAATTCATGGCTTTTAGTTCTAGAAGAATAAATGTCAGTAAAGACAAGTCTTTTTTGTATAATTTCTGATTTTAATCGCTCAACTTCTTTTGAACCAGAGCAACTGTCAAAAATTTCCAACAGTAAAAAGTTACGAATTGGCACAGCAGAAATGTAAAATTTTCTCGCCATAATGAAAAGTTTTTTCAACATGGAACTTTTCTACTAATTGACATGAAATTACTATCTCAACGCTCGGAGCGCTGCCACTGAGTGCCTTTGCCAACTGATTAAAAAGAGAAAATTTGGAAAGACCAAACAAAAATTTTGAGATTTCTCGTTGTGAATACGAATGCCATAGTTTTTACCTAGCTCGTGGGACTACGCAAAATTTTGACAGCTTGTAAATATGTATACACATAAAGTTGTTGGCGGTAATAAGGAGTCAAAATTAAAATGGAGAAAAGAACAAAAAGCATAGGTTAGTTGTCAGTTATAAAATAAGTCCAATTTATTTGCGAATATTTGTTTATTCTTTTTATTGAAAGGAAACCACTCGGAAAAGCTTGTGTTAATTATATTGATAACAGAACCTGGCAGCTCGCACGTTGTCTAAATTCTCAAGTAACATAAAGTCCACAAAAGAATAAGTACGCCATGTATAAATTTTAACAATACACAAAAATAGAGTTTTCGCACGAGCGTTTGTTTGGTTTTTCAACACCATTTATAATTTTCTTTTAATAAAATCACGATTTGACAAATACTTAAATTTATTTATCCAATAATAATACAGCACACAACCCTGAAATCTAAGAAAAAGTCTGAGGAAGGCCAATAAATAGCAGCACACAACCCCGTGCCTTCCTCAGGAAAGAATATAACTACAACAACAACGACTACTACAACAACAACCCAAAAAGGTTGGTTACTGTCTATACTGTGGTTCATAGGGACACGAATTTCAATACGATACGATACCATATCGATACTTTTTGCATTCGATGCCGATATTTTCTACTCGATAGTTTTAAAACGATATTTTGTGGAATCGAGTACCAGAACCCTAGTATCGTATCGAATGTCATAAACTCACATTACAAGGATAATGGTATTAACAATTCTTCCCGATATAAATTGGGCTTTAAAGAGCAGAAATTTGTAATATAGTTAGGATTGCATGTGGTGGAATTTGACCCCACGACCTCGGTGTTTTAAGTCAACACATCAATCTCTAGGTGTTGTTACACAATATGTTAGTGTTTGAGCGAGATTCTCCTCCGATTTGTCGCGCGCGCCTTAATGTTGTGGCACAAAAGGGGTCCCTACAGTTTTATGTCGACTCTGAACGGCGATTTTGTTTTAATGGGAAGCTGTTTTTCATTTTCAAGTTTTGCGCACTGCTAACCATTACACCACAGCGGCCTATATACGAGACCTATATTTAGATAAATTTTTTTGATTTTGGTATCTATATTTGGAATATCGAGTCTTTTAATTACGATATTAATGAGTACCCGATATTTTTGAAGCGATACTTTAAATGAGTACAATATCGATACTTTCTGTTCGATATCGTGTCCCTAGGTGTTCAAGTAGGAATGTTCGATATTTAAGAAAGTATCGATATCATGAATCGATTTAATTCATTGAATGTAAATTCGATATGGCGATATATCGGGCTGAACAATATCGATATCGGAAAAATCGGTCATGATTCAATAATACAAGGTTGCATAACCTGGCAAATATTGTGTTCGTATAAAAAGTTCAACAGGCAACACTGCCGATATTTTCAACGATTGTTTTGTGGAAATTCATTTTCTTATTGCGCAAATTCAAGTAAGTATACCAAAAAAATCCAAAATAATGGAAATATTTTGAATTAAAACAATAATTTACATATGTATTTCTTTGCAGAGTCTCCGAGTTATTCACAATTCGTATTAACTAGAGAAGAACTAGAGTTTTACAAGACGTAAAGTTTTTCATATTTACAAGTAAGTATACCACCCCATAAAAGTGAAAGTGCAAATATTAATAAAGATATTTTCTTGTGCAGGTCCGGATCATCTGTGTGTCCGCCTACATTCGCTGGTGCAGGGATTCTCCCTATTACAGCCTTTCCATATTTACAAGTATGTATACCACCCCACAAAATTGAAAGTACAAATATTAATAAAGATATTTTCCTGTGCAGGTCCGGATCATTTGTATGCCCGTCTACATTCGCTGGTGCAGCGATTTTTATGTACTTCCAGGATTCTAATCCGATCGCAGGTACAACTTTTTCCTTACCGCAAGCTCAACATAATCGTAGCGCAGCCCACTTTTTGCGCAAGGCCTTTACAATATCGCACACCGTGTTCAAAAGAGTCACAACTCAAATAATATGTTTGTAAGAAAATGCGAAAAACTATTTTTTAGCACATGGTAATCACATGGACAAGGGCGACTTTACCTTAGGTTTTTTTTTAACAAATTATAAAAAAAAAATTTCTGCAGCTTTTGCTGAAAGTTAAATAGAAGCTCTGTGCATAATTTCAAAAGTTACTAATTTTGAGTTGTGACTCTTTTGAAGACGGTGTGCGATATACTGGTGTTTTGTATGTAAGTTTTAATAAGTGGAAAAAGTCTAGTGTACTAACCGTTCATCTATAGAACACCCAAAAAAGTACAAAACGTTAAAATTAAATTTTAACTAAAAAACCAAATGTAATTAAATTAGGATACTCAAGATCTAATGGGCTGTTTTTGCTTACGCGTAAAAGCACATTTAGCGCATTTAGCTCTAAATGCTACTCTAAATGTACATTTATCCATACAAAATTCGTCACCTAAATGCAGCTAAATGCAACTCCATTTATGCATTAAGAATCTAAATGCTAAAAGCAACCCTGTGATCTTCCAAAATTTCCACGATTCGAACATGGTTTAATGTGAAAAAGTGGCAACATTGCTTTTTCGAGTATACAGTCGCTAGCTGCGTTTCAGTGATCGCCGATCGAGATTTCATTTATTATTTTACATTATTTGGATAAAGAAAAGTTACGCAAATTCAACATCGATATGATGCTGATAGGAATCTGGATTAATTTGTGATCAACTCTGTTTATTTTGTTTCCTAATTAAGTATGGAAATTATAATTGACAGCACCGATAAATGAATATATACACAAACAAATGTTGGGTTATGGTTAAAACAATTCAAGTTTTTGTATTGAATTTTCGGTTTAGAATTTATTTTTTCCTTTTCAGTAGGGGTTTTTGCACATTATCTTTTCTGTGAGAATTTATCGTAATAGATACGGATCTGAATAAGCGACTGGAACACGGCTGTTTGTCAAAAGCATACGATTTCGAACTAGCGTAAATGTACATTTGCTAAATGCGGTAGCATGAACGCTCTTCGAAAACATATGTTCGAAAGTGCTAAATGTTGCATTTTAAATGCAGCAAAAACGCTGCATAACTTTTCAATGTACCCAATATAATGATTAGCAAGACTGATTGGAGAAAATAGTAGAAAACATTACTAAACAATTTAAATTTGTAAAAAACCAAATGTAATTCAATTCAAGATATTTAACATATAATTTTTAATAGATTAATTTATATGCATTATATCAATTACATCATTACTATTTGTATATTTCTTCATATAGTCCCTTTGAATAAAGGATTTGTTTAAATTCCATTCATTTTGTTTAATATATACTGGAATTTCAATGCAACCATGGCTTATTTTGAATATTTGGGAATATTTGTCGATACGATTTTTCTTTGTCCAGAATTTTATGTGAATATTCATTTATTTCATTTTAATATCTATATGGCATGTTTATTATACCATAAAAAAATTAATTCATTGTCTATTGTGTAGATCAGTGGAATCCGCTTCATATATTTAATTAAATTAAAAAAAAAAAACCCCATTTCAGCACTACCACACTACTTTTCCCACTACCTTTTCACAAAAGGGGATAAAATGGTTACCCGGTTTTTCTTTCTTCTTAAATGCAACCTTATAAGGCAGTCGATTGACACAAATGTCAATATTTATCCAACCTTGTATTATTGAATCATGAAATCGATGTTGAAAATCCTACTCCCAATTGAATAGAATATTAGACCTGGGGCTCTATTCTGTAACTGTGAGAAAATGTAGTGTACACCGAGTGCAAAACTCACAACCAAAACTCACCGACTAAAATTCAGTGAGTTTTTCGGAAGAGAAGTGTACACAATTTTGACAGTTAAAACTCATTCTCACACATGCTGAATCGCAAAATGAGGAAGTGTACACAATTTTGACAGCTAAAACTCATTCTCTCTTTTCCTGAATCGCAAAATGAAGAGTGCACACCATTTTCAGTGTACACTTGAAAACTCACAGTTACATGTTGGGTCAGCAACTCCCAATCCCTCCTAAAACCATTTTGAACTTTGAACGAATTTTAGAAGATCCCTGATTTCGACGCATCTAAGGTCCTCCAAGTTGTCGAAGAATTGCCTACCGAGAGTCGAGAGTCCTCGTCTAGATAGAGCAGGGCATTGGCACGACAGGTGCAGAATCGTTTCCTCCTCCTCTTCATCTTGACAACTTCTACAGAAGTCATGTAAACGTAGCCCAAGTCGATAGACGTGCTTGCCAATTAGGCAGTGTCCTGTTATGACGGATACTAATAATCCAATATTGGACTTATTTAGACTCAGTAGTAGGCCAGTGCGTTTGGCGCTGAGCACCGGCCATAATTGTTTGGCAGTTTTGCAGGTGATTTCGTCCTGCCACCTTTCGTTCGCTACTTTAGTGAGCCTCTCGGAGATAAGTAGCTTACAAGTTTGCAAGGGTATTCCTATTTCGTCGTTTATATCCCCAAAAGGAAGTTTCGGTCCAAGTCGCGCCAGTTCGTCGGCCTTACAATTCCCCTCTATGCCGCAGTATCCCGGAACCCATATTACCTTTGGGCGAAATTACTCAGCCATCTCGTTAAGAGATGCGCGGCATTTCATGGCTACCATGGAGGTTGTCGACTGCTTCGTGAGGGACTTTATTGTCACCTGGCTGTCAGTGAAGATATAGATATCAACTTGGGGTATCATATCACACTTTACCAGTTTCGTGGCCCTGTCGATTGCCATCAGTTCAGCCTGAAAAACGCTACAGTGGTCCGGGAGGCGAAAGCTGAGGGAGATTCCCAGGTGATGGGAGTATACACCTCCTCCAATCCTTCCCTCGAGCTTTGAGCCATCTGTGTATACATGGATGGACTATCCACTACTTACAACGTCATGCTTCCGCTCTTCCCTTGAAGGTAGGAGGGTCTCGAACGCTGTAGCGGGTGCAGGTTCCGGAAGTGCATAGTCCACCAATCCGGGAAGCCCCGGAAACTCCGTTAGTATTCTACCGTGACCATAATTGGTATTTGACCACTTGCGACTTGTTTGGCATGTAGGTCCACCGGAAGAAAATTCAGTAGGGCATACAATGCTTTGGATGGTGTTGTTCTCATCGCACCAGTTATGAGTGTGGACGCAAGCCTTTGAACCTTGTCCATTTTTTTGAAGTTTACCCCTTTCCCAAGGGTGTTCCACCATACAACTATACCATGATAGAGTATTGGCCTAACCCCTGACGGGGAACCTTTTTATTACTGATTCACCTAAACCTGCGCTTATTTCTCGGCCGATTGACATTCGTTCAATAAATGAGGTTAGTGAATTGCTTACTCCCAGATTTATCAGACATGAGATAATCGCTGCAGGAGATACATTGTTGAAAGCACCCTCGATGTCCAGGAAGGCCGCGATCTTCCTTTGTTGTAGGCATGTTGGGCTGCCGAAAGTTTGCTGCCCACCTTGTCTCTAATGTGCCCATCTATTAGTCTCTCTAGAGATTTCAACAGGAAAGACGACAGACTAATTGGTCTGAAGTCTTTTGGTCTCGTATGTGTAGTTTTCCCTGCCTTGGGAATGAAAACTACTCTTACCCATGAACCAATTATAACAGATCTGACCGGTTGAGAAGCAGCCATTTGTAATAGCAATTGAGAAAAAAGTGTGTGACGTTCGTAATTTTGAAGTTTGCTATTTCTGTTTTGCTTCTTTCTTTATGTGTATTTTGTCGGTGGGTTATTTCAGTGATTTTAGCGATTTTCAATAAATTTTTTGTGCACATGTAATTAAAATGAAGTGCGCGGTGATTGGATGCAAAAACACATACAAAAATAATAAATTGGTTAGCACAAACATGTGCTACAACATTGCTTGCATTTTTTTCTTTATGCTTCGTCTTCATATTCTTTGTTCACTTTTCACAGAAAATAACATGGCGCCGAAATTACAAATGTCAGCCAGAAAATTACTTTTTTCTTTTGCTTCATCTTGTCAGATCTTGTGTAGTTGGATCATGACTCTTACCTCCTCCCATTTGTGGTGTATATAATTCAGTCGTAACACTGCTTCAAAGACTGGTGTTATTAAATAAGAAAAGTCGACATAAAGAATATTGCATTGGCTTTATTCAACAGGGTATTAATTTTCGCTTGCATTCTTTTATGCGTAGCTTGCACTTTATGCCTTTTAGTGTATTCTTATAGCCAAATAATTTGGCATGTGTCAAGTTACATATAAGACATTGTTGATTAATGGACGCAAATGAAAGTAGACGCAAAATTTGGAATATGCTTATGTCAACAAAAACGTGGGAATAAAGCAGTTGCATTAATTATGCTTATGTAAACCAAAACGTGGGAGTAAAGCCTTTACAATAATTTTTCTTACGATCTAAAGTTTTTATGCCCTTATTATTTAGCTACGTAAGCATTTAGTTTGTATAAAAACGTAATCATTAATTCAATAAAGATCACTTGAAAGCAATCAAGCAAACAACAGTGTTCGAACTTGGCGTAATCGCTATTATTCTGAACATTCTGGTGACCCCTGTGAAAGGATATTCAGCTTAAACAAGGCCAGTGCAGCAGTTTAAGGAGCCACAAAACTAATCTAAAAGAAGAAAAATGGATCGTTTCGAGGATTTGGCCAGACAACAAAGAGAAAGGGGCGGCAATATCGAATCAATTGTCCGAAACTTTAAAAAGGACCCGCAATCCAGGAAGCAGTCAATCAGCTATTACGAAGAGCGATTAAGAAGACTGGACAGCGAGTGGTCGAAGTTTGAAACAACTGACAACAAACTTCGACTGCTTGAAAACCCCCAGCTGGACCACGACTACTTTACAAAGGACTACTATAACAATATAATGGAAATTGTAAATCAGTACAAGGAGATTTTCGAGCACGCAGTGCTCCAATTGGCTCAAACCTAGACGAGAGAATTGCGCTTAACAACTGATGAAGGAAGTACGTACCAACATGATGCTTCAGCTTCAAAAGTCAACACAGAAGCACGGCATGATACTGGAACCAAACAGGCAGCTTCCAACGAGTACACTAAACTAGTTCGCAGACAAGGGGTAATGATGGCCTCGTTGCGACGGTTACTGAACGACAACGTTTCACCACAA